GCTTCCTCCCTGGGACCCTGCTGCCAGGGGGTGCGCTGGGGTGGGCAGACCCGTGGGAGCCGGGCGCTGCATGGTCCGCTCCAGCTAACCCCCAGGGCTTAGACCCGGCTGGCGCCAGCATGTCCCCCCGCCTGGGCAGACTCCCACCCGCAGCTTTGCCACTGTCCTCATCAGCTGCTCTTTCCTCTTCCAGCAATGGCACCAGGCCCCGCAGGAGGGAGGGGTCTTAAACTGACTCGTGTAAAAGCCACTGTAGGTTGTGAATCCAGGAGCAGGCAACAGGCCTCCTGGAAAATCTTTGTACTTGCTTAACTTGTAACCCCTTTCCTTTTCTTTTGGAGGTTGTTTCAATAAGCCTTTTACCAAGGGGCTCCCATTATTAATATGATTAATTCTGTTTATTGCGCAAGTTCCTTGGGGCCCGTTGAGAATGGGACCTTTGGATTAGGGATTTGAAAGGTTAACTGAAGCTTATCGGTTCGGGTAGTTAGTGGAGGCTGGAACAGCTGTCCCTGGGGAGCCCACATGCTCCACAGGTAGGGGCTGCTCTGACATCCAGGCAGGGGAGTCCGCCATGCTGTGCACAGGTGATGCTCTGGCGGAGGCTGGGAACTGGCAGCCAGGCCTGGCTTGGGGCTGCTCCAACCGGCATGGGTCTCTCTCCCACCCGGATCCCACTTAATCTGTTAACCAGTTAAACGTTAGATAAATCTAATATTTATCTGGTTAACTGATTAAACGGATTTTACATTCCTACATTAGATTATTAATTTTTTCTTTTTAATTTTAATCCTTTAAAATGTTATCTTACAAGAATGTCAATGGCTCCTCGTGATGTGTTAAATAGAGGCAGGGTGTTGGACTTAGGTATAGAGCAGTTCCAGTCTGAATGCAGTTTTCGGATTAGCTTTTACTCATTGGTGCTAAAGTGAAAGTCTCGTAACTCTTTGTCCTCTTTGCAGATGGCATGAATGTTCTCTTCATAGTAGCGGACGATCTGCGTCCTGCTTTGGGCTGTTACGGTGACAGTCTTGTGAAATCTCCAAACATCGATCAGCTTGCATCTCGCAGCGTTGTGTTCCAGAACGCATACGCTCAAGTAAGTCACGCTTAATTTAAAATAAAAAAACGATGTTTCTGTAAATAAAAAAGCAAAGGTTTGGGCACAGACAGTGCTACCTGTAGTAGGACCATTAAAATTTCCAGCTACTTGTATTTTAAAATAATCAGGCAGTAAAGGGACAACTGTGCTAAACTGTGTGGTGGTGTTTATTTTTTCTGGAGTAAGAAAAGTTCACACTGATATTAGCAGTAAGGTTGTGATATTCTTAATATTGTGTAACATCCGCTTGTGAATTTCACTATTAACAATGAGATGCCATTAAAAAAAAGCAATTTTGCATGATACCAGTTCTGTGCTTTCCACCCCAAATGGAGTCTTGTAAAAGCTTATTCTGTGTTTGCTCCCCTACCTCTTTTTATGAGCATGACATGTATATTCCAAATCCCTCATATTGTCCAGATTATTCTTTGTAAGGGCAACTTCTAATCATCATTCTTAAGCTCAGAGCTCTGAATCTTACTACTTCCCTTTTGCTGGGACAGCTGGCTGGCAGAAGACATCTGTTTTCGCAGCCCTGTGTTCACCAGGAAGCCAGAAACCAGGGCCTTGAATCTGACAAGGGATTTTGGAGACTTCAGTGGAGTTACTTCTGTAGAAACCATTTCATATTTAGCTAGGAGCCATTCTGTATAACAAAAGCCATTTCAGTTTCTTGTGTCTGCACGTATACTAGAGGGAGTGAACTGGCCTTCACCGAGGTGGGGAGAGGCCAGAAAGATGCGCTGTTGGAATGTGTTAATGAACTATTTTGACTGAAGCTCGAACTCCCTCTAAACCTGTTTCTTTCTCTGCTGATAATAATTCCTCTTTGAAGTTCTCTTTGATTTCTTGCCCTGACGTCAGACTTGTTTGGTTAAGGGTATAAAATACTAGGATTGATTGTATTAGCCAGCCTTACTGGGCCCGGCTTTGCTAGGACCACGTTTGGCTCACTTTGCTTTTATTGGCCAATAAAACTGTCTGTTTAGCCGCGTAAACTGAGTGAGGCGTTTGCTTCGACACTTCTGACTCTTGCCAGCATGAAATAGAACATGCAGGCCTTTAAACTCTAACCTAGATCTCCCACTTATCTGTTCTTCACATTATTGCTAAGACTGCTCAGATTGCTTGTTGGTTAGATCCCACCAGCCCCTGAATATTTTGCCCTATGACACCAAAATCACTTGATGGCCCTTCAGATACAAACTGAACATACTCTACTTTCCATGAAGCATTAAATCTTCTGTCTCTTGCTTTAGCAAGCCGTATGTGCTCCGAGCAGAGTGTCTTTTCTAACGGGACGCAGGCCCGACACCACCCGGCTTTACGATTTCCACTCCTACTGGAGAGTACATGCGGGAAACTATTCCACAATACCCCAGTACTTCAAAGAGAATGGCTACACGACCCTGTCCGTGGGGAAAGTGTTTCACCCTGGTATGGCTTATAACATTTGAAATCTGCATTTAACATGTTGCTACAAATTAATTATGTAATTAGGGATAGATTTTTTCATATTTAAATGGCCTAAAATATTCTTGGTGTAGAATAAAGTCCTTCTAGGTTGTCTTGCATGTGAATAAACCATTACATTTTAAAGAGTTACATAGGTGGGATGTTAGCTATACAGCAGGGGTGGCCAACCCATTCTGGGTAAAGAGCCAAGATATCAGTTGATCCAGCAGGAAGAGCCAGGGCAACGTTGTTGAGACCCTCCCTCCCCTCTTCCCCCAAAAAAGGCTGCCCCTTTAAGAATACAGGTTTAGAGGCTTTTTGGCCACATCAGGCTTCTGCCGGCCGACACCATCTTTAATACTCCATCTTTAATGACTGTGCCGTACGGCTCCCCTGTCCCGGTGAGCACAGGGAGCCGGGAGGAGAGGGCCGTTTTCAGGGGCACAGGGGCGGCTTTATGAGCCGTAGGGGGGTGGGGCAGGGCTTTGCAAGCTGCACCCGGGGGAGGCGGGAAGAGCCGCATGCAGCTCGCAAGGCATAGGTTGGCCACAGCTGCTATACAGCCTCATTCAACCATGGGAATTTATCTGTTATAAATTTTCACATACCACTAAGGCCATGTCTACGCTACAGATAAGATCAAAGCAGCCGCAGTCGATCTTCCAGGGTTTGGGTTAGCGGGTCTAGTGAAGACACTCTAATTCGAACTGCAAGGGCACTAATTCGACTAAGTGCCGGTAGTCCTGCTTATATGAGGAGCTGAGTGTGCTCCCTTCGACTTCCTGCAGTGTGGACAGTGCCAAAATTCGAGTTGAGATATTTTGAGTTAAGCCATGCAATTGACATAGCTGAAGTTGCATAGCTTAATTCGAATTTATCCCCTAGCGTAGATCAGGGCTAAGAGAGCATAGGAGTTAATGTCAGGTGTGCTCTAACTTGTCTAGAATTTAGACACTTCTCTAGACTGCTAATGATGCAACTAGAGTGCATGGTCATTCTCTCAGTTCTAGAACTTAGATTTATTTACACATGCTTCATATTATACAATTCGCTACACTTCAGTCTGACATCACCTTGTGGGATGAAGAAGCATTGTATGTCTGAGTAATACTTCCAAATTAAGCTGCATAGAAAACGAGCTCACTCTATGAGCAACACTAAAGAGTCGAAAATACTATATGAACAAATGCAAGATTTTTGGGTGGCACTCTTAGGGTACGTCTAGACTACATGCCTCTGTCGCCAGAGGCATGTTGATTAGGCTACCAGACATAGGAAAATGAAGCAGCGATTTAAATAATCGCTGCTTCATTTAAATTTACATGGCTCAGCGCGATAGACTGGACACGCGGGTGGCGACATCAAAGGTATTTGTCGACCACCCAGGTATACCTCATCCCAGGAGGCATACCTGGGTGGTCGACAATTATTTAAATCGCTGCTTCATTTTCCTATGTCTGGTAGCCTAATCTACATGCCTCTGGCGACAGGGGCATGTAGTCTAGACGTACCCTTAGGCTGAAACTTGTTACCACTAAACAGTGTTTGCTGGACATGTAGAATTTTTAATGATTGCTAGCTTTATATACTTATATGCAGTTTTATATACAGTTTCATTTTATATATAAATGCTGTCACTTAGTCCTGATTATTTTGTATCCAGACTGACCTTGTTCAAGATGCTTGAGGTTTTCCTTTCCTGACTACCAGCTGTGTGTTAGGGACTGGTAGCTGGAGCTAATGTTTCATCCTTCAGTTCTTGAACGCTTTCTTAGTTCCCTGAATAAGCTCATAAAATTAGTGGGCCTACTGGAACTGTTTCTATGTTAGCAAAACAAATTAACCGTGTGTTTCTTGTAGTTGAATTCTTCCTAGATGAGTGAGCTATAAGACCTTTGCTTACTTCTCCTTTCCAGGGATTTCTTCCAATCACAGTGATGACTATCCATACAGTTGGTCCATGCCACCTTTTCATCCCTCTGCTGAAAAATACGAAAACAGTAAGGTAAACAAGCAGTTGAATTGCATGTAGACCCAAATACAGATGGGTGGAAGGTGATTTAAATATTAGTGCTCTTACTAATCTGAGTCAAACATGTCTATCATTGTGTAACCTCATGGTTACAACTGTGGAGGAAAATCACTAGTCAAATATACACTCCTCTTCACCTCCTTGCCAAAAGGACACGCCTCTTTGTACTGAAGAATGGTTACGCTCATTAAGGGGAGGATCAGGCAAATGCTTATGCTTATAAGTAGTTCCCTTGATTTTGATGGGGTTATTGACCTGTGTAAATGCCTGCATGACTGGGGAGAAGAGAGACTTAATTGTATTAATAGCATTAAATCTTTTATCCAAAACTATAGCTGCCATCTCTTGCAAATTACCTCAGCCTCTTCCCTAGGTGGTAAAGAGCTGTCACTTGGCTTGGCTGAATTTTAGCCTACTCGACTCAATAAGAATCTCAAAGCCACTCGAGTGCAGAATTGATTAATGCGTCTTTTGGTTTAATAGATGGAGCCATTTAAAACCTGCTCAGGCAGCCAGCAAACCACCGGTTGCACAAAAGCGTGGGCTCTGTTTACACCATCAGTGGGTTTCAGATGCCAGTTATTCTTATGCGTAAGCTGTCACTCATGGGGTTGCGAGAACCTCTGTGCTTGAGCCTGGCCCTTTGCAGATCCCAAGTTAATTTGTGCTAAATTACAAATCTTGACCCTGCAAAGAAGGGATTAAGACAATCCGGCTAAAATCAGAGTTTCCTGTCTTACTCAGCTTTCCAGAATGTTCATTACAATAAACATGGTCCGAAGGAATCGGTGCCACTTGTAAATACAGCTCTAACCTCTGTGGTCCTGTCTTCTCTTGTCTGGCAACATCTGTGGTCCTGCTGGACCACAGATGTTGCTGGATAAGAGAGTAGGATGTAAATGAGTAGTTAGCTAGACAATTAACCGATAAACCTATGTTTATCGGTTAATCTTGTTGACTACACGCACCCCCCGCTGCCTCTGTATCAGAGGCAGCAAGGTGGTGGGGAGCAGGAGCCAGTATTGGGGAGAGCTGGCTTACAAGGGGAAGGGGGAGGCTGGGGAGACTTCACAGCAGCAGCCCCTGTCTGTGGGGGGATCCCAGCTCTCTGTGGACAAAGGCTGGAGCAGCTTCTGTCCACTGGGATCTGGGAACTCCCCCCCATGGACAGGGGCTGCTGCTGGACCTGCCTTGATCCACGGCAAACCCAGGCTCACCACAGACAGAGGCTGCTATGTGGGAGGTGGAGGAGGGATGGCAGGCAGCCGGTGTTCACAGGGAGCTGGTTTTTAAACTGGCTCCCCTCGCGGACCACCTCCCACCTGATAGAGAGGCAGCAGCACGAGGTGGCAGGGGGCTGTGGGAGGGCACTAGCTGCCAGCCCTGCCCCTGGGGACTATAGAAGAGTTGAGTAACCAATAAGAATTCATGTGGCTATTTGACTGTGCAATTACCTGCTATCTAACATCCCTACAAGAGAGCCCCGGGGCAGAGCTTGCTGGCGGCTTGGCGCGGAGCTGTCCAGCAGCGTCAGCATGGCAGCAGAGCCCGTGGGGCAGCAGAGCCACAGTGGGTGGGTCAGGGAAGCTGGCGAGGATGCCAGGGCTTGCAGGGCTGTGGAGTTGATAGGGCTGTCAGGGCAGCAGACCCCACAGCTGGCGGGCCGGGGAGCTCCGGCCGGTGTGCTGCAGCTCACAGGACCAGGAGGCTGGGGAAAGGAGCCTAGTGGGGAGGCTGGTGCCCCCTCCTCTCCAGATCTCGCCTGGTCTGGCAGACTCCCTTGTCCGGGACCAGTCAGGTCCCGAGATGCTGGATAGGGTCCAACCTATATTGCACTCTTATGTCCACTGCAAGTGCTACAGCAGCAGAGCGTTAGCCGCACTGCTGTAACCGGCTAGTGTCGGTGCTTCCTGAGTCAACGCTTTCTTTGCTGTCGTTAATCCGCCTCTCTCAGAGGGGCGGCCAGAGGTGTTCTGTCCACCTAGCCGCGTTTACCCTGGGGGTCAGACAGAGCTAACTGCACCCCCCAAGGCACAGCACTTTTCACATTAATGCAAACTAGGGATGTTACATTTGCATTTATTCACTAGTCAAATAGTCAATGGGATTTCCATCGACTATTCGATTAGTTGATAAGGGCTAGCGCGTTTCACCGTTGAAATGTACAAGAGCCCCAGCAGAGGCGCACACCGTTGAAATGTACAAGAGCCCCAGGAGGGGCACTCTCGTGCATTTCAAAGGTGGAACACTGCCCCGCCCTCTCCCACAGATCTGGAGCTGGGGGGAACCGGCTTTTAAGCCAGATCCCTCCAGCACTCCCTCCTCACCCCCCCCTTGCTGCCTCTTTGTGATAGAGGCAGCAAGGGGGGGAAGCGACTAGTCGATTAATCGCTTACATCCCTAATGCAAATCAATTCAATGTTAAGATGGCACCTTAGTCAAGCACTTAGCCAAGTCACAGGCAGTCACTGTATTCGATGTATTGTGGTACTAGGAAGTACCTAGATGAGGCAAAATTGAGCCGTGGTATAACGTGGTTGTGGAAAATGCTGATTTCGGTAGCAGCTAGTGTTTGCATAGGCACCTGAGGTCTCTCAGCACACATTTAGCAGATGCTCCAAAGGCCCTTTTCAGGCCACCTTCTCAACCCCTTACAACAGTCAGACTTTCTTCAGTGACAAAATATCAGCACATACCCAGAAACTAGCGGGTCAGGTAGCTGCTTCCAAGAAAGCTTCCCATGAGCCCTTGGGGCTACAGGGAAAAAATACTGTAACCGATTTTTAACCACTCACCAAGGAGCCAGAGAGCCACGGTTTCCTGGGTTCGAGAGCTCGGTGTGCCGTCACGCCCTCAAGCCAACCGTAGAGCTAGGATTCTGCGTCTTGTTGGAGACAAACCAATGCTGCCTGTTTTTTCAGAAAGTGGCGCTGTGTTTTCCTCTGTGGTTTGACCAGCTTACCTAGGACATCGCAAACCTTCTCCAGCACTGACGTGAGCTGCTAATTTCCAGATCAGGCTTTAAATTCACAGTCTGTGTTGTGGGCTGAGTGATCCCTCTGAGTAGAGTCTGCCATGAATTGCTCTGGAAGCTTATGGGCCGTGCGTGTTCTTACTGTGGTAGAATTAAAGTAATGCAATTTTTTCCTCTATATTTCCTCAAAGACGTGTAAAGGAAAAGATGGAGAGCTTCATGCCAACCTGGTTTGCCCTGTCGATGTGACTGAAGTGCCTTTGGGTACCTTGCCAGATATACAGAGCACCAAGGAAGCCATACGCTTGCTGAACCTCATGAAAATAAAGAACCGTAAATTCTTCCTGGCTGTCGGTTATCACAAACCACACATCCCCCTGAGGTATCCGCAGGTAAGGAAGGCTGGAGTAAAACCATGTCCTTGGGTGTTATGATGAATGAAACCTCAAGCAAAGTTATTCAATGACCAGTATTCACCTTTTAAAAGGTACTTTCCCCAGTATCTTTTATCGTTGCGGTAAAGCAAGATGAAGAATATCCTGGCATTGAAATGGTGAGACGTACTCGTAGCAGCCTGGACAGAAAAGTTACTCAGGGGTCAAAGTATCTATTCTTTTAAAAAGTTTTAATGTGTTAACACTACATGCCACGCTAAAAGCCCACTTCTTCCACCCTGTCTCAGAGCACGTCTAGACTATGTTTTTTAGAAAGGAGATACGCTAATTTGCATATCTTTTTCTGATCACGTTTTCGAAAGCAGGTCTTCCAAAAGTGAAAGTAGTCTGGACACATTTTTTCCTGGACCAAAACTGAAGCCTCTCCTTGCAGGACTATAACCCGGGGCACATCTAGACTACGGGTTTTTTTTCCCAAAAGGAAATATGCAAATTCAAAATTGAAAGTAGCTTTTGAAAATGCAATTGGAAGAAGTTATGCAAATTATCACCACATTTGCATATCTCCTTTCGAGAAACCCCCGTAGTCTAGAGGAGCCCTCAGTGAGTTATGCACACTAAACGTTATTGTGCAGTGAGGTATACTTTGTCGGAGAGTGGCAGAAAGAGGCCCTAAATGATTTGTAGCGTGATCTTCCTCCCCATTTATGTCACTAAATGATTTGTAGCGTGATCTTCCTCCCCGTTTATGTCAATGGCCAAAGATTCACCAGTTGCTGAGGGAGCAGGATTGGGTTCTCTGTCTCTGAAAAGCCTTCACTTTTTGATACCTGCGGTAGGTCTCTACCATATTGGAGAGGAGTAGTCTGTACCATGAGCCCAAGCTAGGTACCATACACAAAAACTTGGCACAACATTATCTTGTGCAAGTCTCCTGAATAGAAGTTCTGTGTTAAAAGCATGAGTAAGGTTTGAGCTTACCAAAATATCTGAATCGGCTACCACTGAGTACCCCTTACTCTGGCGGTGTTATTTTCCTAAAGGTAAGCTGAAGGTGGAGGGCACAGAAGGGGAAATGGTTGCTGCTCTATGTTGTATAAAGACGGCCTTGGAGAGGAAGGGGGAACTTTTTGCTTTTTTTTTAGCCTTCGAAATAGCAAATCTTGTTTTGCTGGATGTCTCAGATTCTGAGCTTCCTCAGCCCTTAATTGATAGGCAAAGGGTTGAATCTTGAGCAAAGGTATCCTTTTTACTCACCTTTCCTCAGGGATTCTGAGTTAGGGAGTATTAGGAAAACCAGAGTTCTGTATAAAAGGAGTAAAAATCACACCATCCCCCTTTAACTAATTGGGTTTCATGCACATGGCAAATCTGCCATAATCCAGCTAGTTGTATGGGCACCTGTAGCCTTCCAAGAAAAGCAGGAGAGACAAGACCTGAATGTCCACAGGTTAAGCCAACAAACAAACCACTTCTCAGAGGAATAAACCTTTCAGGCCTTTTAAAAATAAACCCTAAAGAAGCCAGAAGAGAAACAAATCCTTGGTTTTCCTTTGTTCTGTTTTATAGTCGATTCTCAGTGCGGTAAATGAATGCTAGAATGCCAATAGACAAAATAAAGGTGGATGCATGGTTATAGAAATCATAGGAAAAGTAGGATTGACATATAACGCCGCAGTCATGTGGGGACCATTACAAGACAGCAGTGCAGTCTGTACTGAAACACCTCTGCAGCTGTTTGACATTCTCAGGTGCCCTTCGCAGATGTGTGTGAAGAACCGGCTTTACTACTTAATAACGGCAAAGCTCCGTCTTTGCTGCATTGAGATTGTAATACGTGTTTGTGTTGTATTGCGAAGGAGTTTCTCAAGCTGTACCCGATGGAAAACATCACACTAGCCCCAGACCCTCAGGTGCCTGCAGAACTGCCCACTGTGGCGTATAACCCCTGGACGGATATCCGACAACGGGAGGACGTCCAGGCGTTAAACATCAGCTTTCCTTATGGACCAATTCCAGAAGACTTCCAGGTAAGCAGTAGGGATGTAAAATTCCGTTTGTTTAGTTAACTGGTTAAACTTTATGTTTAACTGGTTAGCTGACTTACCAGGGGTGGGTAATCCAGAGGCTGGAGCGCCCTTGCCCACGGTGGGCCCTGCAGGGCTGGAATAGGAGCAGCTGCAGCCACCACCGGTTAACTGAATCAGTAAGCCTCGCCTGAGTGAGGCTTACTGGTTAACCGTTCGCATTCCTAGTCAGTGTTGCTTTGAAATGAGACTTCCCTAGATCTCAGCTCAGTGCAAGGTAGCACAAGGCTGTTGTCACTCACAAGGAGGCATTTCAAGGCGTGTGCAGCCATGACGTGCTGGGGAGCTTGCGTGCCCTGCTTCACAGCTACCAGGCCAGCCTGTGTTGGATCCGAATCGGGAGGTGGGTCAGGCAGGCAGGGAGTGGGCTTAGGGTGAGTCTGGGGGGCAGCGTGTAATACGCTTGCCCCGGTCTTAGTTCTGGGCTGGGCGTGTGTTCCAGGAACGTGGACACCACGCCGGAGGAATCCGTCTGTCTTCACTAGCCCTTCTTCTTCAGGGCCCTCATTTCACGTGCCTCCTTGGGAAAACCCGACTCTCATGTGGCATTACCAGAGCACCAAAGTGTTGGCTGGGGCTCCACAGGACCAGCCTCAGCTGGCTCAGGACTGCTTGCTTGAAAGAACTTGCAGGGAATAATGGGGTCTCCTAGTTGTTCCTTCTGTTACGTTTCATTTGAGGCAGGAATTACTTGCAGACACTTGCCCATGAAAACGCTGCAGGCCCTTTCCGTCGCGCGGAGCTAGGAAGGGTCTGCACAATTGAATTGACTCTCTCCCTTTTTGGAATAACTTGTAGCGGCAGATTCGTCAGAGCTATTTTGCTGCAGTTTCTTACCTGGATACGCAGGTTGGCTTGCTACTGAACGCCTTGGATGATGCTGGGCTCTCGAATAACACAATTGTGATGTTTACGGCTGATCATGGTAAGCAATCAGAAATGTCCCTGGCTACATGCAAACAGCTCTCTTCTGAGCCACGGAAATGAAGCCTGGGCCATATAAATCACGTTCATGTTTGCCTTGTGCGGTTATGCCCCATGTATCTGCCTTGTTAGCCTCTAGTTCATGCACAGATCTTCTAACACATGTTTCTATGGGTGCACATCTTCTTTTCCCTGCAGGCCGTTTTCTCCCTAGTCATATGGAGGGTTTGCTACTGCGAGGTGAGTCCTCTCAAAGGACAGTAGCTGAGCCTGCAGTGTTTTCAAGCTCTTTCTGCTCCAGGGAGTGATTCCTGCGCTGCCTGGGGGTAGCTTCCCCTTCCCAATCTGCAGAAGCACCGTCTGCTGAAGTGGGCGGCAGACTTTTCTCCTTTACTGATCCAATGCAACTTCGTGCACTTGCAGTTGTGACGTGTCTGAAACAACTCTTCAGCAAGCTAGCTACAATCCGTGCTGCAGGGACCTGGCACTCTCCCGCTGATAGTGCTAGGAAGGCTCGTGGAAGTGTGTGTGTGTGTGTGTGTGTGTGTGTGTGTGTGGGGCAGGGAATGCCTCAAGTATTTAGGGAGATTGAGACCCACTTCATCTCAATTCATATGAAACGTGGAATCATAGAACACTTGAATTGGAAGGGACCTCGAGAGGTCATCGAGTCCAGTCCTCTGCCCCCACAACAGGACCAAGCACCATCTAGATCATCCCTGATAGCTGTCTATTCAACCTGCTCTTAAATATCTCCAGTGATGGAGATTCCACAACCTCCCTAGGCAATTTATTCCAGTGTTTAACCAGCCTGACAGTTAGGAAGCTTTTCTTCATGTCCAACCTAACGTGTCCCTGGCAGGCTCTAGTAGTAGGCAAGATGACCTATTCCCAGGTCCCCTGCCCTTAGGAGAACACCTTAGCTGCTTAACTAGGTAAAGAATTAGAGATGAGAAGCATTAATAGTGTTTCATATTAATATCGCTGGATTGTACGTGCTTCCTTATTTGGAGATGTGAGTTGGAGTCATTCTTATGTAGACTCCGTTCTTTCTCCCCTGCTCTGTGTCACTAACCTTGCCCAGGGCCTCAGTTTGATGAGTGATCACAAAATGGTGACTCAAAACACTGACCTTTGAAGTTGGTGTTTTTTAGAGCCCGCTTGCGCCTCCCCCCACGCCCTCCTCGGTGAGGCTGGGGGCGAATAGACCAGGGAAGAGTGGCACACTAGCCATCCACTCCTTCTTAGAGGATTGGGGCATGATTGGGCAAGCTTGCAAAGAGTTTTGTTCTCACCTTGGTTCCTTCGGGAAAGCATCCTGATTTGGCCACCTTGCTTCAAGAGATGTGCCGGGAAGGGTATGTCTAGACAGCGGGGCTATTTCGGGATACCGGAGGTGTCTCAAAATAGCTACCTTGCATCTTTGAAAGGTGCCTGTTATTTTGAAATATTTTTCGAAATAACAGGCATGCTGTTGCGGCATCCCTGTAACCCTTCTTCCGTGAGGGTTAAGGGATATTTTGAAATTTGGCACGGTGTAGATGTGCCAGATTTTGAAATAAGCTATTTTGAAATACAATCAAAATAAGATATGCAATTTGTGTAGTACAAATTGCATACCTTACTTTGAGTTTAGGGTGCTGTGTAGACGCACCCTGACAGAATAACTGGGATATTGCGGAGCTGGCAGCGATGAACATCTCGCATGAATGCTTTGAGGAATTGATCTGGAGAGGTATACATGCAAGATGACACCCCCAATTCCTCCTTTACGTTCTTAAAAATGCAGCATAAGAATGGCCATACAGTACTGCGTCAGACCAAAGGTCCATCTAGCACAGTATCGTCTCTTTTTACAGTGGCCAGTGTCAGGTGCCTCCCAGAGAGAATGAACAGAACAGGGAATCATGTGATCCTTCTCCTGTTGCCCATTCCCCACTTCTGAAAACCAGAGGCTAGGGACATAGTCCCTGCCACTCCTGCCACATAGCCATTGATGGACCTTCCCTATGTGAATTTATCTAATTCTTTCTTGAACCCTATTATAGTCTTGGCCTTGGAACGTCCTTTGGCAAGGAGTTCCACAGGTTAACAGTGCGTTTTGTGTGAAGAAAAACTTCTTTTAGTTTATTTTTAAACCTGTTGCCTATTAATTTCATGTGAATGACCCCCTACTTCTTGTGTTATGAGAAGGAGTAAATAGCATTTCCTTATTTACTTTCTCCATACTGGTCATGATTTTATAGAACTCAGTCATATCCCTCTCCCCTTCGTCATCTCTTTTCCAAGCTGAAAAGCCCCAGTCTTATTAATCTCTTCTCATATGGAAGCTGTTCCATACCCCTGATCGTTTTTATTGCCCTTTCCGAACCTTTTCCAATGTCAAAATATCTTTTTCTGTTATGGGGAGACCACATCGGCATGCAGTATTTGAGACGTGGGTGTACCATGGATTTATATAGAGACAGGACGATATTTTCTGTCTTATTATCTATCCATTTCTTAATAAGTCCCAGCATTCTGTTCGCTTCTTTGACTGAGTGGCATGAATGCTGGCTCTAACTGGGAAATGGGGGGAGGTGGGCGAAGCTGGGAAAGGAATAAAGTCAATAATTGAATAGTGCCTGAAGGACCAAGAGATCTGGTGTCACTGCTGTTGGAAGCGGGCGAGTCTGGCTGCTGGCTGTCCATAACAGAACTGATCACTAAGATAGTCATCTAGTACTTGCTTGAGACGATGTTCTGTATCCTCTAGGATGGTCTCTGGGTGAACATGGAGAATGGGCGAAATACAGCAATTTTGATGTCGCCACCCGCGTCCCACTGATGTTCTACGTACCAGTGGTGTCACTGCTGTTGGAAGCGGGCGAGTCTGGCTGCTGGCTGTCCATAACAGAACTGATCACTAAGATAGTCATCTAGTACTTGCTTGAGACGATGTTCTGTATCCTCTAGGATGGTCTCTGGGTGAACATGGAGAATGGGCGAAATACAGCAATTTTGATGTCGCCACCCGCGTCCCACTGATGTTCTACGTACCAGGGAAGAC